CTAATTTTTATTAATTTAATGTATGTGCTTATTTATATTTTAAGTAGTGTTTTTGAATTTAATTATATTTTAATTAAATGATAGTTATTTTGTGAATTTTATGTTTGTAGGAATTTGGTATACGTTTTAGTTGAAGTAAACGTGCATGGAAATAATTTAAATATTTGACACTAAGTATTTGTAATGTTTGCGGTATGAATTCGTTGGTGACGTTTATAATATAATAGATAATTTAGAGGTAAAAGTTTTTGGATATTTTATTTATTTTATACGTGGAAATGTTCATATTTGGAAAGGGTATATACTTTTTTGTTATTAGGTAATTTCATATATGTTCTTTTTAATGGGTTTAAAGATTCAGAAAATTGTCATGCATTTTCGTGAAATTTTTCTAATTTATGAGAAAAAAGCAGTGTACATGGATATGGTGAAGAGTGTGCGCAATGCCATTTTTGTGCAATTCTGGGATTTTTTTTTTAAGTAAAAATAAGTCGACATTTACATGGTTTAGTGATATTTTAATTAAATGATAGTTATTTTGTGAATTTTACGTTTGTAGGAATTTGGTATACGTTTTATTTGAAGTAAACGTGCATGGAAATAATTTAAATATTTGACACTAAGTATTTGTAATGCTTGCAGTATGAATTCGTTGGTGAAGTTTATAATATAATAGATGATTTAGAGGTAAAAGTTTTTGGATATTTTATTTATTTTATATGTGGAAATGTTCATATTTGGAAAGGGTATATACTTTTTCGCGATCAGGTAATTTCATATATATTACCGGGTTTAAAGATTCAGAAAATTGTCATGTATTTTCGTGAAATTTTTCTAATTTATGAGAAAAAAGCAGTGTACATGGATATAGTGAAGAGTGTGCGCAATGCCATTTTTGTGTAATTCTGGGATTTTTTTTAAGTAAAAATAAGTCGACGTGTACATGGTTTATGTGTATGTGTTATTTTGAAAAACGTGTAAGGAGTATGGTATTGTGCACTTTTTCCCAATTTTGCAGTGAATATTTGTCATGATTAAGCAGTTTTGTTAGATAAAATTTCTAGCATAAGTGTAATTCGGCTAGTAGATTGTTGGAAGAAGTGTTCAGTAGATAAAAAGAAAAGAAACATGTCTTTACTTCGAAGACAAAATGGCGGCGGGGAAAAAACAAATAGAGGGTTGCTGTAGGAGAGTTGGTCGCCAAATTTTCGCCAAGTTACCATAATCTAAAGATCAACCAAATTATATTTTCCCTCTGTTTATGTCAAAAAGAGTTTCGGATTCTGGAGCTGCCAAATGATCTACAAAACGAAAGCATGTTTCGATGTCCATGAAACAAAAAGTGGAATTACTGCAAAAAATGGATAAAGGCAGATCCTTTGTTTCTCTAACCATTCCGAAATCTGTTTATCAATTTCATGCTGCTCTGCAGGGGGGGGAGGGAACATTGCACCACACAATGAACTGGAAGTTGATCTGTCAGCACTATCCTCATCTTCAGGGCAGATGTTTTTATTTTATTCGGTTTATAATTTTTTACTAAATGTAGTATTTCATATCAATGTACTCCGTCTTTGATATGATTTAAATCAAATTCTTTGTCATTATAAATATCATGAACAAACATCAAATAGTTTTCTGTTTGCAATTTCCTAATTTCAACTATGCGTAATGTATGCTTTATGCATGCACATGTTGAAACAAATATTTAATAAAGTAAAGAAATAAATATTAAGCTTTTTTTTTGTAAATTTTGAAACCCTTTGGATCATAATTGCTCTTTATTTCATGAATTACGGTTTCATGTTTTTAATTTTATAATTTCTGCAAGGCATCTTACCAGATTTAAATTGATGATCTATAATCCGGAAAAACCCCTAATCCGGAATCGTCGAAGTCCGGATTAAAGACTTTGTACTATATAGAATTCACTGCAACGTTTTAGCCTGATATGTACACTCAGGTTGTGCTGTCAGTGTAACAAGTTAGAACAGGCATGCATGAAGCTTGCCAAACTATGGTATGGTGCACTTGGTTAAAGACCAAGTTTTGCATGTTTTTTCGGGTAGAGTAGACTTTAAGTTACCCCTTGTATTATGGCGAAGTTGTTGTTTGGTTTATCGCCAAGTTGTTGTTTCATTTATGGTAGCCCGAGTAGTTGAATTTTATGGAAACTCTAGTACGACATAATCGAGTGCATGATTCTGGGAAATTTTGAATCATGGGATGTTCTGTAAGCGTTTTTGTTGTGTGTGTTGGTTTGATTTTTTAGACAGTAAGAATGGACGAATGTAGTAAGATTAATTTTAAGTTACTGTGCGATTTGCAGCGTAAGGAGAAAAGAGCTTCAACTGACTGGTGTGTAACTGAAGGCTTACTTAGTAGCCATTATGTGTCCTGTATGTAGGAAGGATATGCGTCTAGTCGAACATAAAAACCGTTTAGATGGATTTGAATGGGTTTGCAGGAAGAAAGGTTCAGATGGTCACTATGTGAAGCGTTCGATCAGAAAGAGAACCTGGTTTGAAAAACGTCATTTGAGTATAATATTTTGATTTTTACGTGGCTTTGGGTGTACGAAGCAAATTCGAAAATTATGGTAAGTGAATATTTGCTTTCGGTAGTACTTAAATGTATAACACGTTTTTCCTTTTTATGTTATTTTATTGTTTGGTTTAAAATGTACTTTACTGAGATAATGTATTTTTTGTTTGCCTACATTATAGAATTTGTTGCTCCTTTGACTTTTTAAGTGAAAATATGTCAATGTGTACATGGATAAAATAAAGGGAGTGCGCAATGCAAGTTTGTGGAATTCTGGGATTTTTTTAAGTGAAAATAGGCCAACGTGTATATGGATAAAGTTAAAAGAGTGCGCAATGCCATTTTTGTGCAATTCGGGGATTTGTTTTAAGTGAAAATAGGTCGACGTGTACATGGAAAAAGTCATAGGAGTATGCAATGCTATTTTTGCGCAATTCAGAGATTTTTTGGCTAATCTTTGGAATACGGTAACAGGTAGTTTGGCGACATTTTGGTAAAGCGATAAAGGTTACTAGCTAGGATTTTAGCAGTGTACATGGATAAAGTCAAGAGTGTGTGCAATGCCCATTTTTGTGCAATTCTGGGATGTTTTTTTAAGTGAAAATAGGTTGACGTGTACATGGATACCGTGTATGTGCAAATCTTAAAAACGCCGCAAGCAATGGGTGATTCTGCACTTTCTCCCAATTTCGCACCTAATCTTCATCATGATTAAGCACTTTTGTTCCATAAAAGTTCTAGCATAAGCATAATTCGGCTAGCAGATTGTTGGAAAAAAATGTTGATTAAAAAAAAACATGCCTTTACCTCGTGAAAGCAAAATGGCATCTAAAACAAAACTAGCAGGTTGCTGTAGCAGAGTTGGTTGCCAAATTTTAACCAAAAAATTGCCAAGTTACCATAATCCAAAGATTAACCGATTTTTTTTTAAGTGAAAATAAGTCGATGTGTACATGGATACCGAGTTTGTGCAATTATTTGTCTCGTTATTTTGGCTTTGTGTAGCGGCGATTTTTGGCGCAAAAATAACCACTTTGCAAACCAAAATAACGAGTCAAAGAATTGCACAAAATCGGTATCCATGTACCACCAAAAATCGCCAAGGGGTACCTTAAACTATACTTTTACCATTTTTCCTGCTCTGCGTTTTCTGATAACCATCTTCTTTTTAACGCCCATGGGAACTTTTATTTTGTTGAGTAACTTCTGCTGAACTCCATGGTTTTAGTAAGGTTTTCTACAGACCACCTTCTTCTTAATGCCCATAGGAAATTCTATTTTGCGAAGTTCTGCATTCATTCTTACACTTGTCTCATTGTTTTGTATTCACGTTTGTTGAATTAAAAATATTATTAGAGCTCCAACTTAAAGAAAGAGTTATACAGCTGCTTTTAAGCTTTTGGCAGTGAAGAAATTGACAGAATATATTGTTAGAAAACAGAATAAAAATATTAAATTCCTTAACATCTGAGTAGTCATATTTAACAAATGAATATGAAATGAGTTCGATACGCTGGTAAAGGCATTTCCTAGCACTGTTTTTCCGCAGAAATCTGACATAAGCCTTGATGGAAATGAATAACACCTTTGCTTTTAAAAACAAACTTTGAAAAAAATTCTTAAAATACGTTACTTTGTATCTTCCATATGTTAAATAACGAAATTTCTTCACGATAAACATTACCAAAATAAAATGTAGACAAGCACATTTTTAGAAAACCAAGCGTTTTGTTTGTGTCTTTTAAAAACAAGAGTGGAGCTGCATTTCTTTTTACTTACCTAACGGAGTAACTTTTATTTTAGACATGGTTTACACAACGTGAAAAAAATAGAAAACGAACAAAAAACAGAATTACAAAAGCAAGAATAATTTGAGAACCGTTTGGTCACGGAGTATAAATATATTTTAACTTCGTAGTTTGGACGAAAAGTAAATATTAAGTTAAACCGGTGCCCACTGAGTTGAGTTGTTTCAATGTTTACATCTCAAACTTTTGAAATTTGGAAGAAATATTTTTTTTGGAATATTATTAGTGTCTTCAAATAATGTTAATAGAATTGAATAGCCTTCTATTTTAGTAATTAATTTATTTTCTAAGATTCTATATAAATTTATGCATCATGTATGTATTTGTATTTACAATATCTACAAAACTTATTCATTGAAATAAATCACTCAAACGCAACGCAAATATTTGTATTTTAACAGCGTAAAAAAACAAATTACCATTTTTACCTTTGAATTAATAAGCATACTGTATATAATTATATTTACCTTTTGAACATACCCTTTAACTGAAGATTAATTTGGCTTTTTAAAGAACTATTATAATAGATCTCTTCTATTCCATATCTTATTAATTAATTAATTTTTATTTTTTATTTTACCTTACGAAAATTTCCATCGATGGTACAAAGTAAAATATATCACTTCCGGTCGTTTATTTTGATGATTGGATGATCCTTCTGGTTGGATGATAGAGATGCTCTGTTTATCCGCATCTACTGGAAAATCCCCTTGGATCATCTTGCGTATCGCTTAAATGAAGCATCCTCTGTAATGACATTAGTAGCCGTAAGCTATGGCTCATTGTTTATATTCGAATATGCAACATTTGAAAATGCAATTTTTTTATTTCTCGGTGAAGCAGGCCTCATACAAACATAGTTCTGAAATTAAAATTTAAACGTGTGCGGCATCTTTTCTTTATTATTAAGCCTAAGGAATTAAATTATTACATTTTTAAATGGATAGTCAGTTTATCTGTACTGTTGAAATGATACCTGTGAGATTGGCGATGCAGTAAATTTAAGTTAATTTTGAAAATGGTGAGTTTTTATGTATATAGTATTTCGTAATGCATGCGATCTGTTAAGGAAATGAATTTTATCAGGATGGTTTCGCTTAAGATCACAACTTTCAGCATCAATAAAATACTTCAGAACTGTAATTTAATATTTGTCAGTTAAAGAAGAATGCTTTTTTTGATTTATTCAAGTAAATAAAAACATTACACTTCCATGTATGTCATGTGATTTCTTGCTTTAGTAATTCCTTTATTTTGTTCTTTTGTAGAGGCATGCCTTCTGAATTGATTTTGAACTTTTTTATCATAATTGAAATTTTCTCATAGTTAGCCTTTGAAGTATACATTATTTTTTTCCGTGCGTAATTATTGTGTTATTTTTATTGATGCCAGAATTAAAAATTTCTAACTTTTCATGAATTTATTTTTAAATTTGCAAAACACTTTTTGTTTGGAAATTTATATCATGTATGGATATAAATGCAACTTATTAAATAGAAGCAGAATAAGAAGTTGTGTTAAATATCTAGATAAATTGCAAAACAGTATTAATTTATGTTCTAATATTAGATTTTTCATTTTAAAAAGGAAATCATATTTTTAAAATGAATCTGCTTTGAATACATAATGAATTAAGTATTTTAAACTCTTTTTTAATTATATTTCAGAAATGTTAATAGGCATACTTTTATAACAGTGTGTTTCTGCACAGACAAAAATGCAGTTAATGACAGAACAAAAAGAGCTGAATAGGTGCATTTGAAAAACATTGTAGCTTGATTTTCAACCTTAATTTCTTGGGCACTCTTCTGTTATCAGGACCGGATTCAGAAATGAATGTGAGTGTTATGTATGTACATATAGCTTTTTAATTATATATATATATATATATATATATACGTGCACACATGGACCCATCCATCCATACATACATGTGTACATTTCTGGAATCTGGTCCCAGTAACAGAAGAGTACCATTTCATTTTAAACAGAGTTTTTAAAATGAGTTACATTGTGAAATGATAGGAGCAACTTTCACCATTAGTTAAAATATTTCAAAACTAATTTAATATCTGTTGATTAATGAATAAGAATTTTTGTATTTGTTCATGTTCAGTTAAAAATCACATGACGTGATTTTTTGCTTTAACGATTTCTTTATTTACTTTGCGAATAATCATAATTAAAATGAACAGATTTTTTTTTAAAAAAGACATTCTAAGATAAGTCTATATTTTTAATACTATGGAAAAATAAAGTGAAATAGTACATAGTTAATACAACAGTTATTATTCCATCAAACATTTCTTTACACAAAACATTTAGGTACTCAGAAATTTTGGATTTGGGGACTGTTATTTATTTATCTATTGTGAGTATTTTTCGTAAGAATTCTTTATTTATCTTATGAACAGATTGATTGTATTTGCATATTGCATTTGTGTTCATCATAAACTTTACTTAACTGTGTTTTATATTTGCCCATGTATTATGAATTACATAGCACATGGGCTGAATTTTATTCCAATAAACACAATTTGATTATTATGTTGTAGTTTGGAAAGAAACATAAATATTTTAAAATTGAGAGCATTCTTGATTCATATTATGTAAGTTTCAGTTTTTTGGTTGAATGTTCATATCGTTTAATTTTTCAACTGTTTCACATTTTTCTAAAATGATGAAAAAATTTCATGAAATGATTTCTTATCAAATAATTCTAATTAAAAGGTATTCTTGCATTAGGTTTAGAATATTCTATTCAGTGGTATTCTATTTTAAACATGTTGAATTTTTAATTCTGTAGATGATTTCATTACATTTTCTAATTTCCATGTATGAAATATAGTTTGAATAATAGTTGAAAAAAATGGTTTTGATTATTCTCTTTCTCTCTTCTTCATTTTTGGTGGGGCTGTATGAGTTCCTTAAAGTGTTATATCTAATATGCAATTATTTGACTGCTTATATCATGTTTCTGTTCCGATCTCACATAAAATGTCAGGAAGCTGTAGTAAATTTCATGTTGATTATTTATAAAATCTGAGACACATTCTGCAGTTGAACACTGAGCAAAAATCTGAGTATACTCCACAGAATCTGAGACATCTGGTCATTTTAATCATGAGTAAATATTTACCATATTTACTTGCATATTTCTCTCCCCTCGTGTATTTTTTCTTAATTTTTTTTAGCATGATTTAAGAACTTCTGATTTATAGTAGCAATATAAAATATATGCACAAATAGGATAGTATATTTTGTGTAAGTAAAAAAAAAAATATTATTGTAACTGAGAACGTTTTTGAAATACATGGTATAGTACAAAGTCTGAAATCTGGACATTCAGTATCTAGAATGATCTGATATCTGGACCTCCAAACCACCAGCCAAAAAATAAAATAAAATATTATAAAAAAATATTCCCCTCCTCTTACAAAAATTTAGAAATGGAGAATATAATACTTAACAAAAGGAAGGTGTGCTGTAAATGTGATCCTTATTCTGATTAATGCGGGCCACATTAAAACACCTGCTGATTAGGAGAGTGGCACTTTGGCCAGTGGCAATATGTTGATTGATATTGTATCGATATTGGTCAAGATCACACTTTCATCTGTTTTCAAGCTTTGGGGGATGTTAGCATTTTTCTATGTGACCTAAGCAGTAATTGAAGCTTTTATGTTGTCATGTCTGTATGTTATCATTTTAGATTTAAATTGATTATCTAAAATCCTGAAGAGCCCACCAGTGGTTGAGCAGTAAAGTCGCTGAACACTGGTAGTTCGGTCCGAGGTTCAAATCCCGTGAACGGGCTGCCTACATGAGCGTTTTCGTTATTTACCCCATGTGTAACGTGTATACGAGCCAATTTCCCTTAGAAAGTCCTCCACAAAGGCATCCCTTCCCTTAGACAGATAGCCCTAGTGTGCTTTGCCATAATTAAATACACCACCACACCTAAAATCCTGAAATATCCAAAATCTGCAATTGCTGAAGTCCAAACTATTCCAGATCTCACAAAGTTGTTTAATTATATTAATGTGTATTGAAGTATGCTTTTCAACACATCTTAAGTGGGTGTACGCATCTTAATCTCTGACAATACAGCAGTGTAGCATATACATCATATATGCTGCACTATCTGGAACATTTTCTGTATATATTCCTGAGCGACCTAAAAACTTTTCCAGGCTAGTGAATTGTCTATTGAAAACCATTTTTCTTCAAAATCAGAATTATCTGAATCTGGACTTGAATCCGAATTGCTTGAAATTCTTGGTCAGAAAAAAGTCCTAGGATGTTGTATAATTTTGTCACCACCAGAAACATTGTTGGTAAGCTCCTTCTTGCAGGAATAATTCGACAAATTATCATCACATTCTATTCTATTATGGTCAAGTTTTAAAAATTTACTGTAAAAAATGTCAGGTTATTGTAAAAAAAATTGTCAATAATTATCTTGGTAAAAATACAGGATATTTATAAAGTCTGGGACCCATTTTGATGTTTAATAACTCATAAAATAATGAAGATATAAACAAACTTAGGGCATTTATTGATGGAATAGCTTATATATTTTCCTTTTCAGGTTTGAATATCTTTACTTTTGTAAATATCGTCTGCACGTGTGATTAATTTCAGATAATTTCATTTTCCATTTTAAATATCTGTACTTTTCTAAATATCGTCTGCTTATTAATTGCATTTTTCTCTCTTTTGTTTTGGGCATCTTTCTGGCATTGTTAATCAGCATAATGTGCAGATATTTAGATCTGAAAACCCCCCATGAATACTGTGAGGCACAAAGGGATTCCCCAAAGGTTAATGTGTGGTGTGGACTAATGCATGACCGAGTCATTGGGCCTTTCTTTTTTACAGAAAAGACGGTCTCATCAGTCGTATACTTAGACATGTTGGAAAACTTCGTATTTCCACAACTAGAAGAGCTTCAGCCACATGTCTTTTTGCTACAAGATGGTTCGTAGTTCTTTGAATGACCATTTTACAGGAAGATGGATTGGACGAGGAAGTCCAATTTCTTGGCCACCCAGATCACCTGATATAACGGCGCTGGACTTTTTCCTTTGGGGATTTGTAAAGGACAAAATTTACAGGAGAGTGTCGAACATTGATGACCTAAAAGCCAGAATTACAACCGCAATAGCCTCTGTGGATGCCGACATGCTTGCCGGTACCTGGCGTGAAATTGAATATCGACTTGATATTCTCCGTGCGATGAAGAGGGGTCACACGTGGAAGTTCATTGACAAGGGTCATGAAACTTTTTGAGTCTATGTAGCCATTTATGTTATTAATTTTAATCTATCTTTATTATTTTATGAGTTATTAAACATCAAAATGGGTCCGGGACTTTATAAACACCCTGTATATTTACAGGTGCCCCTTGGTGATAATTGGCGATTTTTGGTGGTACAAGGACACTGAGTTTGTGCAATTCTAGCTACACAAAGCCAAAATGGCAAGTCAAAGAATTGCACAAAGTCGGTATCCATCTACACATTGACCTATTTTCACTTAAAAAAAACATCAGAGAATTGCACAAATTGGGCATTGCGCACTCCCTTGACTTTGCATATGTACACATCGATCTATATTCACTTGTTATATTGTATTAACCTGTTATATTGTATTATCTATATTAATGCTACTGTTTTATTAAAGCAGACACTCTGTTTATGATTTGCTTTCAAGCAAATTTGTGTTACAGCATTTCAGAATTAAACTGAGTAGTCTAAGTTCAGTTTGTTTTATGAACCTTATATTTTAAATTCAGTGGTTTAGCTATTTTCTTAAGTTGTTCACAATTTTAATGAAAAATTGTTATAAGTTTGCATGCACCTAAAAACATCTCAATTTCTTCGACAAGTGTTGACAGAGTACAGTCAAAAGTCTTCAATCCGGACTCGTCGGGACTTCGGCGATTCCGGATTATCGATTTTTCCGGATTATAGATCATCAGTTTAAATCTGGTAAGATGGCATGCAGAAATTATAAAATTAAAAATATGAAACCGTAATTTATAAAATAAAGAGCAATTATGATCTAAAGGGTATCAAAATTTACAAAAAAAGAAGCTTAATATTTATTTGTTTACTTTATTAAACATTTCTTTCAACACGCGCATGCGTAAAGCATACCTTACACATAGCCGAAATTAGAAAATTGCAACCAGAAAACTATTTGATTTGTATTCGTGATATTTATAATGACGAGGAATTTGATTTAAATCATATCAAAGACGGAGTACATCGAGATTAAATACTTTACATTTAGTAAGGAATTATAAGCCGTGAATAAATAAAAACATCTGCCCTGAAGATAACGGATAGTGCTGACAGATCAACTTCCAGTTCATTGCGCGCCGTCGACGTCCGCCCCCCTCCCCTGCAGAGCAGCGTGAAAATTGATAAACAGATTTCGGAACGGTTAGATAAACAAATGATATGCCTTTATATCCATTTTTTGTAGCAATTCGTTTTTTTGTTTGATGGACACCGAAACATACTTTCGTTTTCTAGATCCTTTGGGAGCTCCAGCATCGGAAATTCTATTTGACATAATCGAAAGTTCAAGCTTACTTTTATAAAATTGCTCTTACAGTCTGCAAAAAATAATAAGCCGGATCCAATTCGAAGATTAAGGAACAACGCAATCATCAACATTAACTGAAATAGATAATTAGATAATTTTAGCTTATACCGTCCGTTATACATTAAACGCGCACGCAAAAACATATTCTGCGCTTATATAGCATTGGTACGGCAATGCCCCAATACTTTTTTTTACCTTCATTTCATATTTAAAGGCAAAATATTTAAAATTGAATATTTAAAATTAGTGTTAGTAATATTATTTATTATTTAAAATTAGTGTAGTGTAAATTAGTGTAAAATTGAATATTTAAAATTAGTGTTTAAAATTGAATATTTAAAATTAGGCAAAATATTTAAAATTAGTGTTGTTTAATATTATTCATGTTATTTAGATAGAGAAAGCAATGAAAAATATTCCATTTTGGAAAAATATCTGAATTTTTATCAGTAAATGTTAGGAAGCTTCTGCAGCACAAGCCTTTAGTGATGGGTAAAATTTTAGTATAGTCAAAAGTCTTTAATCCGGACTCATCGGGACTTCGGCGATTCCAGATTATCGGTTTTTCCGGATGATCAATTTAAATCTGGTAAGATGGCATGCAGAAATTCTAAAATTCAAAATATGAAACCATAATTTATGAAATAAAGAGCAATTATGATCTAAAGGATATCAAAATTTACAAAAAAATAGCTTAATATTTTTTTGTTTACTTCATTAAACATTTCTTTCAATGCGCACATGCGTAAAGCATACATTACGCATAGTCGAAATTAGAAAATTGCAACCAGAAAACTATTTGATGTGTATTCGTGATATTTATAATGACAAGGAATTTGATTTAAATCATATCAAAGACGGAGTACATCGAGATGAAATACTACATTTAGTAAGGAACTATAAGCCGAATAAAATAAAAACATCTGCCCTGAAGATGAGGATAGTGTTGACAGATCAACTTCCAGTTCATTGTGTGCCGCAATGTTTTCCCCCCGCAGAGCAGCGTGAAATTGGTAAACAAATTTCGGAATGGTTAGAGAAACAAAGGATATGCCTTTATCCATTTTTTGCAGCAATTCCACTTTTTGTTTGATGGACATTGAAACATGCTTTCACTTTGTATATCCTTTGGCAGCTCCAGAATTGGAAATTCTTTTTGACATAATCGAAAGTTGAAGCTTACTTTTTTAAAATTGCTCTAACAGTCTGCAAAAAATAATAAGCCAAATCCAATTAGAAGATTAAGGAACAACTCAATCTGCAACATTTACTGAAATAGATAATTAGATAATTTTAGCTTAGCTTATACTGTCTGTTATACATTAAACGCACATGCGTAAATGTATTATGCACATGCATAAAGGAATATGCGCATGCGTAAAGGTATTATGCACATGTGTAAACACACAATGCGTTTACGCATGCGCAGAAAGTTTGTAGCTTTAAGATCCGGATTATAGATCATTCCGGATTATGGACGTCTAGATTAAAGACTTTTGACTGTATTACAGATTAAGCAATAAAGCATAATAATTATGTTGATTAATGACAGTTCCTACTTTAATCAGGAAGTATTGTATTGATATTTATTTACTTTTGTTTTTTCATTTTACTAAATGTTTAATCACTTTTTTATAGTTTGATGAAATTATCTCTGCATGAATGTGGCTCTTAGTTATTTCTGATTTCTACTGAATAAAATGACCATTTCTTTTAATGTAGGAGCTTTTACATAGAAGTATGTTGTTCAAGTTTTTACTTTAAATGTAAAGAAGGGATGACTTTAAGATATAATTATGGATTCCCGATCGATACCTGGGCTTAACGATCAAGGTAAAATGCTTATCTTGACTAAATGCATATTATAATTTTTTTTTCTTTTTGGTGTTTTCTTGTAATTTCCATCCTTTTGAAGTATAATAATATAAATAACAATGTTTAATTTGATATATTTATTTATTTATTTTCTGTTTATTTCATCTGTTATTAGCAGTGTAAATAATATATTAGTTTATGTTTTGTATAACATACTTATTCAGTGTTTCATAATATATGTTGGTTGTGTAAATTATGTAATGCATCTGACATTGACAGAAAAAATCCCAATCTCAAAAAATTATTGTAGGGTAACGAAATTTCGGCAACTCATTTGTTTGGGTAACATATTCAATTGATTAAATTTTTAAGATCACAGGTTAATGTAAGTGGGAGAAGAGCCATTCCAAATGTGAAATGCTTGTATATTAATAACTGGTGAAACTGCCAAAATTTCAAATTCATTGTGTCGTACAGGTGCTAGATATCTGTTTATGGGATGGAGTTCTATGCTTGTTGCACTTGGTCGGTCAACAGAGGAATAGTTAATGCTGATTGTGGATGATGCTTGAGTTGTTATCCAGTGATGTCCCATACATGCTCGTTTGGAGAAAGGTTTGGTGATCTAGCAGGCCAAGGCAGCATGTCGTCATTCCGTAGAGCATGTTGGGTTACAACAGTGGTATGAGGTTCGAGCATTGTGCTGTTGGAAAACTCCCCCTTGAATGCTGTTCGTGAATGGTAGCAGAACAGGTTGAATCGCCTTGCTAACATATAAATTTGCTGAAATTGATAAATTGTCTGATTAAGTTTGAAACGAATATCATGTGCTTCGCTGAGTGGCAAAACATTGCTTTTAATTTGCTGAGTTTGTTAATCAAAATGTCATTAAATTTATACAAAATATGAAATAAATAAAAAATATTCAATTTGTAATTGAAAATTCAGGATTCCAGATGTATGTGTTCAGGTAGAGAATTACATGGGTTCAAAATTTGATGCCTTAGATGAGTTTTTTTTTTTTTTTTTTTTTTTTCAACAGTGTAAGGAACATACTTACATTTAGAAAACACCAAAACTTTTAACAGCTTTCGATATCCGTCACGGCTGATGTTTGAGGCATACCGATGAAGATAACAAAACTGGATTTTTATAAATCACCAATCTTTATTTGTCCTCATATGCAATTAATTTGACAGATCACTTTCTTAGTCAGATATGATATTATGATAGATTTTAAGTATATTACATATATTTTTTTAAATGCACATTATATCGGCATCTTGAAAAGTGAAGAACAATGTGAGGTTGATAGAGCAGCATAGTGATGTTTGAAAGGCGGAATGGAATGACATAGGTTTACTTGTGCCAAGAGTATTTATACTAAGTGTGATGTATAAGTACGAGCTAATCTGTGAATTAGATTAAATATTGAGGTTGTTATATAGCATAACATAGAAGGATCTCGAATTTTGGAGAACAGATGAATTTAGGGGGAGAGCACCAAATCTAGAATCGTTAATTTTGTGGTTGCCAGTTATTTTTAAAGCAGCCATCATATTTTGTTATATCCTACATATATCCCTTCAAAAGAAAGGTCAGGAGAGCAGGGTGGTAGAAAAGTATTAGTGAATTAGCGAGAGAAAGCGTATTATGTGAGGAAAGACATGAGGAAGCATCAAGGACATAGCTGGCAGGTTTTCCTATGCCCCTTCATGTTTCATGACCTTTCTCATATACAGATTACAAAATACTTAGCAGATAATTTACAAACAATGCAGTTTCTAAAGAAACTAAACAATAAATTAACACAAATGTAATTTTTTAAAGTCCTCATTTGGGAGAACAGAGGAATTAAAGGGGAGAGCACACCAAATCTAGAATTGTTAATTTTGTGGTCGCCAATTATTTTTAAAGCAGCCATCATATTTTGTTATATTGTACACACACACACACACACACATATATATATATATATGCAAATTGTTTATTATTTAGTCAGAATGCCACTGTATATGTCACATCATCAAAAACAAAAGCTGTAAAAATCAGAGGTACTTAATGGGTAACAAAGGTACTTATCTTGTCGAGCATGGAAGTTGGCTACCATTAAAATGTGAAAGTTGGTTAAGATCCTGCCAAAGTTGTACCAGTCTTCCTGCAGAATTCTGAAGGAACTGATGCCTCTTTATTTAATAAACAATCAGTATTCGACCCGCTTCATAAAAACACTTGTTGATTCTTGTTGATTTCTACTATTTTGTGAGGCCTTATGATTTTATCAGAAACTCTGTTTAAAATTGTATTAATATAGTGCTCTTGCATGCAATTGTTACAGTCTTTACTGTTTTGTAAGCCAAATTCAGCTGACTACATCCTGTCCATTAATATGCATGTTTTTTGATGGTAGGTTCCCATAACTTTGAAAATGACCCACTGCTTGCTGTTTTATTGAAGGCAGATTCCAAATTTTAATAATTTTTTCAAAATGCAAGACAATAAAGGCAGCAGTATCAGTTAATTTATATGCTGGTCCATAAAAAAAGGTGAGAATTAATTTAAGTCAGGTAAAAATATATTTAAGAGTGTCCCTTGGTGAAAATTGGTGATTTTTGGCAATTGGGTAGCAAGTCATAATTTCAAGATGTTTTCTACACAAAACCAAAATAACAAGTCAAAGAATTGCACAAACTCAGTGTCCATGTACATATTGATCTATTTTCACTCAAAAAAAAAAAAAAAAAAAAAAAAAAAAAAAAAATCAGAGAATTGCACAAACTCAGCACTGCGCACTCCCTTGACTTTGTCCATGTACACATCGATCTGTTTTCACTTACAAAAAATCAGGAGAATGATGTTGTCATATAATGTTAAAACAAAGTTACTCATAACCAAAATTGAACAAAATTTGTAGCTTATCGAAGCTCAATAAATACATTTTAAATCACACAGTGAAAAAACATAAAAAAGAAAATACATGTTATCGCATATACGTACACACACACACACACACAAAGGAAATATTGACTTAAAAATATTTAGAAATTTTCGTGTCTTTAGTCTGTGGCACACAAAATTCATTAATAGCATCCAAAAACTTTCTAAAATTATCTGAGCTAGAATATGCATACTGCCATCACCTCATAAATTCACAAAAATAAGAGTAAAAATATCCTCCATAGTGCTGGACTGTTGGTAGTATTTCTTGCATGAACCTTTCTTGCGAAAAACTGATTCAGAGCCATCTGAAAAATCTTTACATTCGACTAAAGACATTTCCTTCGTACAAACAAACTAAATAAACCTCCATTAACACAAACAAACTAAGTAAACTCCATTACTAAGTAAACCTCCATTAACACACCAGTCAATTAATGCTTTTTTCCCCTTTCATTCCAAATCGTACAGAAACTTCACATACATCTCATCACATACAGCCATTTTACAGTGTACAGCACAAAATAAGCAGTATACTTCCTAACTGACATCCAACGTAGAAATAAGCCCTTACAAATATTTTCCCATTGGTCAAATTTACTGCAATCACGCAATCAATCAAATCATAATAGGTTTTCCATAACATTCAACTACTCAGGTTATGATAAATGAAACAACAATTTGGCTACTGCTTTGTCAGCCGAAAGAGACTGGTCACGTGATTTACTGATTGCTCCGATTTGTTTTTCAGAGTAAAAATAGGGAAGATGGGTAGCTGCGAATAATATCTGTTGTGCAATACAAAGAGTCTCTTGCTTAAATGCCGACAAGAATAAATAAAAACAAACAACGTATAAAGGGGAGATGCATAAAATGGAAAATCACTGAACAAAAATCAGTTTAAAATTATCACAAGAATAACACACACACAGAGAATAAAAAACACATGGTATAATAAACTTTTAGAATTTATTTTAACGATTGTAAGCTAAAATAATTGCTGTAAACATGTCTGAAAAATTAATTACACTAATTATTTACATTAAAAATTAATTATTTGCATTGAAGTCTTTAAAATAGTACAAAATTAAAGAATTTCTTACTTTGGGTTTCATTAAGCAATTATGCAAAAACAATAATAAAAATATTTCAGTTGGAAATTTAACCTTCGTTCTCTGTCGAATCGTCTGAAAAACATTCTGAATCGTCATCATCGTTCAAGGAAATAACTAAAGAGTCGCACATTTCTACGTGTGCACAATAGTTCTTCCATTTTTCAATTGTAACATTTTCTATAGCATGTTCAGTAAGCTTTAAGAGTTTTTCCATGTTTATATCTGCCATTATGTTTTGTGCACGAATAAAATGTTTGATGCATACTCTATAGCATACTCTATAGCATTTATGTCACAGTGATATGGTGGCAGTCTCAATGCTGTGAATCCATGTTCTTCTAACATGACATCAAATTTATATGTTTTTTTCAGTGGGAAATGTTCTTTACAATATTCAACAGTTCGATCTTTCACATATTTGGTGAGTACACAATATTGTTTGAAGTAAGCCAATCCATTATACTCTGCTTATTATGAGATGAATTTGGGGGCTTGTTCAGTTGCACTGAATGGTAGGGAGAATTGTCTATTACAACAATGGAATCCTTTGGTAAATTTAGAATCAATTTTTCTGTTGCCCATTTCTCCATATTCCAATTCATTTTCCTGTGGTAATCTCCTATGTTACAATTAGCTTTATAAATTAAGTTTGTGTTTGGAATAAATCCCATTTCCCCACCTGCGCATAAAACGATGATTCGCCTTGATGCTGCTCCCGTCTCCACAGCTCTGAATACTTCCTCCGACTGCCAACGTTTTCCAACCGTCAAATTACTATCGACCCAAGTTTCATCTACGAAAATAAGAGGCCTTTTCTCTTTTCTGAATCTGTGAACATTTCTCAAATATCTCGTTTGCGAAAGAACTACAGTCAAAAGTCGTTAATTCGGACACCCATAATCCGGAATGATCTATAATCCGGACCTCAAAGCTAAAATCTTTCTGCGCATGCGCCGCGTTTGACGC